CTACACCACGGTGTACGACAACCCCGACGATGACATGCTGTACGACGACGCTGACGATGACGTCGACCTGCCGGAGCTCGACCCCGACATGCATGCCAACCTCGAACACCGCTGGGACATCGCAACGATGGCGGTGAAGGAGGCGTTGGCGAGCTGGAAGGGCAAGGCGGTGAAGGCCGCCATGGACGAGGAGATCCGCAGTCTCATCGGCATGGGCACCTGGGAGCTGGTCGACTGCCCACGCGGGGTGAACATCATAAAGAACCGGTACCGTCTGCACCGAAGCTGCGCTGAGTCATCAGCCGTTCCCCCTGCTGGAACCAGGAACCAACCGCTACCCTAAGTTGCACAAGGTGTACAGCAATTTTCTCGTTGTCGGCCACTGCGGGCTCAACGACGAGGGCTGCACGCTCACCTTCGTCGACGCAGGAACCCGCTATGTGTGGATCGCAAACGTGCAGTTCCGCAGCGGGGCGTACGAGGCCTTCCGCCTTTGGCTGGCGCACGCGTAGCGGCAATCTGGGAAGAAGCTGAAGATATGGCAATCGGACGGCGCAGCAGAATTCCGCAGCAAGGAGCTGCAGGACTACCTGGCGCAGAAAGGAATCGCGCACCATATCTCCCTCCCCGTACGCGCATCTGCAGCATTGTGTCGCCAAGCGCACAAATCGCACGCTTATGACAAAGGTGCGGGCGCTACTGAAGCAGTCAAAGCTTCCCCCGACGTACTGGCCGTACGCGATGCATCACGCCGTGCGGGTGCACAATCTCCTTTCCACCCTGCCATCACAGGGAACCTGTCCCCGCACATGAAGTGGACTAGCGAGAAGTGCGACACCTCTATGCTCCGCGTGTGGGGGTGCATGGTGCAATATCGCCCGCCCGACGTCAACCATCGGCAAGTTCGCAAGCCTCGCGCGCTGGGGGATCCACCTCGGCATAAGCTACGAATACAAGGCGTGGATCATCCTGGATCTACTCAGCCAGAAAATCATGAACACGCGACGTCATCTTCTACGAGCGCCTCAACCTCGCCCAGTTCCGCGAAGACGAGCAGACGAACGCGAACCATGTTTACGCAAACACCGGGCACAGCTACGCCACCCCAGAGGATGAAGCCGCCGCTGCCATCCTAGATCAGGACGACGTGTGAGCGAGTTTCCTGACATCGGCGGAAGCAACGACGACGATGACGACGACAGCAACGACTCGCCCCCAGGTCCTGCAGGTGGAAGCAGCAGGGACGCCCCGCCACCACCACCACCTGAGCCCAAGAGCGATGACGATGATGTGCAGGAGGTCATCCCACGCCATCGCCACGACAGCACCATCTCCGGGCTGCGTGAAGACCGCAGCAGACGGGACGATTGAGCGCTTCAAGGCACGCTGGGTCGTACGCGGTTACGACCAAAGGCACGGCATCGACTTCGACCAGACGTTCGCTCCCGTTAGCCGTCACTCTTCCGTCAGGATTCTGCTCGCCATTGCTGCCGCAAGACATCTACCCCTCTGTCAGCTCGACGTGAAGAACGCATTCCTATATGCGTTGGTGGACGCAGTAATCTTCGTAGAGCAGCCGCACACCTATGGCGAAGGGGACCCACGCGTCTGCCAGCTGAAGAAGTCGCTTTACGGGATAAAGCAAGCACCACGCCTCTGGCAGCAGCACCTGCACAAAATCCTACTCGAGATAGGATTCCAGCAGCTGCCGTACGACCCAGGCATGTATCGCCTTCGTTTCTGCGGCGACTACATTCTGCTCACGGTGTACGTCGACGAGCTGCTTTACACAAGAACAAGCAGCACCCTGCTCGACCAGTTTGAGAAGAACCTGGCGATGCGCGTTGACATCACCACCAACCATGACGTAAAGCAGTTCCTGGGGCTCAACATCACTTACTCGCCAGAAGCACCTCTCCGCTGCTAAGTATGCTGAAACTCTTGAAAAGAGGTTCAACATCCCCCCTGCACCACATTCAACTCCTTACCACAGGCCTGGACCGAACCACAAACCCGACAACAAAGCCCTGTCCCCTGCTGGACTACACTTACCAGCAGCAGCTAAGATGCCTGCTCTTCGCTTCCGTCGCCTGCAGGCCTGATCTCTCGTACATCGCGAGCCTGCTGGCTCAGTACTCCCGCAAACCAACGGCTGAAAATCTCCTAGACCTTCAGCGCGCTCTGCAATTTTTCATCTCCACGCCCAACATTGGGCTCTGCTACTCCACAGTCACCACCCCATCCTTCAACCTCATCGGCTACGTGGATACCGATCATGCCGCTGTTTCGCCGACAATCGACAGTCCAGAACCGGGTTCCTGTTTCGCCTCGAGCCAACAGGGCCCATCTCCTGGAACTCAGAGAAGCAGGAACTGGTTGCCCTGTCATCGGCCGAAGCTGAATTCATCACAGCAGCAGTTCGCGGAGGGCTTTACCTACAGGAGCTCCTGTAGGAGGCGAAAATCCCAACTTCGCCCACCTTTCGCCTGCACTGCGACAACCAGAGCGCGATCAGGATCGCGAACAAGCCAGTATTCGTCAAGCGCACCAAACACATTGCGCTGCGGTACTTCTTCGTAAAGGACGAAGTTCACAAGGGCAAGGTTGACTTGACCTACTGCCCGACGGGTGACATGGCAGCTGACTTCCTCACGAAGCGACTGTCACGTCAGCAGTACCAGCACTGCTCCGAACTCAGCGGGGTAGTCAAGCGGGTCAAGACCAACTACGGCTAGGAGTGAAGGGGGGTGTTACGAATAGTGAAATGTGAAATGGCACTATGCACTCCTGACAGTAGCAACCGAGTCACACAGTAAGGAGTACGGAGACGAAGAGGCGGAATGTCGCGAAGAGTCGCGTACGGTTACGAAGCATCTACACCGTCAGGGCAGACGGCATCAGGCAGCAGCAGTGGCGAGGATTCTGCATGAACGGTTCGTAATCGTCTGGAGTCGCACGGTTGGATTTCACTGCAATAAGGGATGTACCCTTTAGAGTACATGGCTAGCTAGGTCGTTTCGTATTCCCCTGTAATCTTATTTATACGGATGTATTTGCATGTTTTTTATTATCTCAGTCATTTTATATTCACTCTGATCTGAGGTCAATGGCCCACCAGTGGTGTCGCACAAACATCCACAGTTGGCAGGGAGTATGAGCTGTATTGGCAGCAAACTTGGGTGCGCTGGCACGATTCTTGCCAAAAACACCAATGGGTGCAACTTTCGGGTCAGTGGGGGGGTTTGGCAGTTTTCTACCATAGGGCGGGTGCGACAAGATGGGAGAGTGGCACAGCGTCACATGTGCAGTGTATGTGCAGTGTAGCAGAATCCTCGCTTCAGGGAACTCGGTATCAGGGTAACTGGGAAAGAACACTGATGTAGTAAGGGGAACAAAACGCGAACTTTGATTCTATAAGGGTAAAAAAAAACATGCACTTTTTGAGTCAGTGTTTAAAGCCTGGGAGTCTGACTGCGTCAGGGTACTTCAAAAAAAAGCGGCCGCCAGTCAGGGCAATCAGGGGAAAAATCCCTGACATTTTGGGGCCTGCCCACCACTACCACAACCTGTTCGAACCTTCCTGAGGTGGTGTGCGTGTGTGCGTGGGTGCGTGGTGTTACGAATAGTAATTGTTGAAAGATTACTGTGCACTCCTCACCGCAGCAAACGAAGCACGCACTACCGAGAGTGAAGGCGAAAAGGCACAAGTGACGCGAAGAGTCGCACGGTTACGAAAGCATCTGGACCGTCGGGCAGACAGCATCAGGCAGCAGCAGTGGCGAGGATTCTGCCCGGACAGTTTCGTAACTGTCTGGAGTCGCACGGTTGAATTTCGATGTAATAAGGGAATGTACCCCTTAGAGTACATGGCTAGCTAGGTCGATTCAAATTCCTCTGTACTCTTATTTATATTCCTTGTACTGCATGTTTTTATTATCTCAAGCATTTACATTCACTCTGCTATTGAGGTCAAGGGCCCACCACCACTAGATTAGGAGTGTGCGAACCTTCCTGAGGTGATCCTGAGGTCGATCAACTTCTGATCGCAACACGTGGGTGCGTGGGTGCGTGCGTGCGTGCGTGGGTGCGTGCGTGCGTGCGTGCGTGCGTGCGTGCGTGCATGCGTGCGTGTGTGTGTGTGTGTATGTGTGTGTGTGTGTGTGTGTGTGTGTATCAGGCCCCAAAATGGGTTTAGGCTCACCCTTACAAATCAGAGCTCCATCTGTGGCCAACTCTGACTCCTAGGGTGAAATTTTTCGAAGTCTGATGGGTGCAGGGTAAAAAAAGAATCACTCTGATCTAGTCAGTGCAACCAGGCATCCAACACTGATTGTTACTGCAAAATCACGCAAACAGTGAGTTGAGGTTGTGTTGCATTAAGAATGTCGACACATCTCATCATTGACCCACAAAACTAACTACTCCTACTTTGTCATAGGCACACTCCCCTCTACATCCTCTTGTTCATTGCCCTCGTTGCTGCCGGTGAAGTCTTTTGTAGACCTGCGCAATTTCTCCCCCCTGAAGATAGCCACCACCTCAAACCAGTCCACCTCATACTGCACTAGGGAACAGCGCATGAGGTGCTCCAGGCTGGTGTCCGAGAGGCACCCTCTGTCCCACGTCTTGATCAGGTTCTGCTTGCTGAACCCGCGTTCACATTCCACCGTGCTCAACGGCAGAACGGCGACGGCTTGCCACATCTTCATGATGTTGGGGAATGACTGTTGCCAGCCGTCGTCACGCATCATGTTCGAAAGCGCCTGGTGAAAATCCTCCCCGTTGTGCTGGCTGAACAGTGTGGATGTGAACATCCACAGTTCGTTGCTCGCCTTCTTGAAGTCGAAGCCTGATGTACGGGGTGGGGGTCAAAGAGGGCTAAACTAGCATACACCGGGTGGAAGGGGGCGTATTAGACCAACAGAAGACGAAGACGAGCCGCGGAAGGTGCACCAAATTCAAGCAACAAGCATGATCACAACGGACAGAATATCAACGCTTCACCGCACACCTGGCAGCTTCTCGTGATAGAGTTTGTGCAGTTTGCCCAGCCAGCGCTTGAACGCCTCTACGCGCTTGGCGTCGTCCGTGAGGTAAGAGGCGGTGTGGAAGAGCTTCGACCCCTCCAGGTTGGCGAGATCACGCATCCGCCACTCCAGTTCCTTGTCAATCGCGCGGACAAACTTCACCGATAGTTCATAGCAGGTTGTCACGTCGCCATCGGTTTCCTGCCCTTTCAACGGCCGCTCGTGCAGAACGAACTTGAACGAAACCGGATTTCCCTCGGAGTCAACGCCTTCAGCTTTCATCTCGCGCTTGTCCTGCTTCTGGTGCTTCAAGAAGAAATCGGGTAGAGTCATGTACTCCCCGCTTCCAAAGGTGTGACCAGGTGCCGGGCTCAGGTACCGCGCCTTCAGCCGCATGCGCGTCTGCTCCACGATGTGCGCCACAAGCGTGACGTCGATCTGCATCAACCACAAAGGAAGCGACGGTGGGGTGTAAGGGGCAGTGCACATGTTCATTTGTCTTGTCACTATACTGACCCTTCAAGCGTAACGTTGAGCACAAGTATTGACCTGTCTTTGCTGGAAACGCTGATTCAAGCGGTTCAGCTCCCACAGGATGTCAGCGAGAAAGCGTAGTAGCCAATGAAACTTGAACGAGGTTACAACCTCGTACAAGTCGGGCTTGTAGTCCTTGAGCACGACGATGGCGGCTGGCAAGACCTCGAGGAGCCGGGCAACGGCCTCGCCACGCGACAGCCACCGGACGGTGTGTATTCCCTGCGCTTCCAGATTCGTCTTGCAGTACACTCGTTGCAGGCTTTGAAAATTCTGGTACTGCACGCCGCTCCTCCCTATAAGCTCGGAAAACGCACGGACGACATTGTCGATCATGTTCAGCTCTGGGACAGATTCAGCGGCATTTTTTGCAGCAAGTGCCTCCCTGCAAGCGCAAAACAAGATTCACGAGTTAAGGGTCCATCGAACTAGAAACTACAGAGCATAGACATCATAGTTACCGATGCGCGATGCAGTGTGTTGACGCCAGGTGAGGTATACGCATTCTCAGCCTCGCCACCACTCCACTGTTCTTCCCCACCATCACGCTCGCTCCGTCGGTCGCGATGCCTGTTATTTTCTGCAAGTCAACACCAATACCGGTCAGGTACTGCACAACAGCGGGGGTCAAAGAAGCAGCGTCAGCGCGATCCACGGTTATCAAGGTCAGGAACTCGTTGACGACGGCCCTCTTCTTGATGTACGTGACGTAAATGATGAGGTGTTTGCCGTGGATGCGGTCAGTGCTTTCGTCGAGCGAGAGGGACATCCACGGCGATTCCAGAAGGTCAAGCCGTTGCGTCTCCTGCAGGTAGGTGGATGTCGCAAGAAGGGATTCCTTGAAACCGTAACTGCAACACATACAACGCACATGTTACATTAAAAACTCCGAATAACAGTCAGTCGAAGAGCAAACGGACAACTAACGTACTCAGTGTAGTATGCACCGTAGCCGCCGTTGGGGGGAAGATCTGGAAGTCCCTCCTTTGCGAGAAACCAGCACAGGGGGACGAACATCGCGATGGGTGCGTCGGCCTTGCAGACGAACATCGCGATATGCAGGCAGCGGATGATGTGGCGAGTCGACGCATCTGTCTCCTGCCACCTTGTCAGAGTCACTTGCTTCTCCTTTGCCGCAACTGACCGAGCCTCGCTCTCCAGCGCCTGTTTATGTGCTCGAGTGGATGAGTGAACACGGATGGTTCCAATTTGCAAGTCACGGCCACCCTCACCCTTCACGCCGTAGCGCGTGCGAGCGGTAGGATTGCCGTACTTCATGCAGACACTGCATTTCAGCGAAGGTCTCCCGTTGGTCTGACGATGTAGCCGTAACCATGCGAATTTCCCAGCCCACTCAGTATCGTACCTGTGCTTGTACGCTTCGTACTCAGCTTCAGCGGTTTCGGTTGGTGGTTTGGGATCGGCTCGACCTTCGGTGCGCGTTGGTGATGCATCCCCCTTTGGTGGCGGTGCGCCCCAGAGCCTCTGCTGAGTGTATTTCACCCCGATCCGCGGCCTTTTGCCCGGCGTGCTGTTTACAGTCGACGGGGACGCAGTAGAAGGTCTGGAGCTGCCTTCATCGCCGCCAGGAACAAGAACCACCGACGGGTGTGGCTCAACAGCTCTAGGAGAAGTGGGCCGCTCGACCGCAAACACATAGCCGACGCTTCGCACGGGCGAGGCGTCACGAGGCGGCTGTGCGATGGGGACGGTGTAATTATCAGATAAGTTTGGAAGAACGCCAAGAACTGAGAGCCCGTTTCTTGGGCCCCCAGACGGTTCCGAATCGGGCTCTTGCTCGGCAGGCATGACTGCCTGGTGCTACTTCGTGAGAACTCGGGGAAGTGCAAGAGAGAGGTGAGAGAGATTATTTCCGTTTTGGAAGGAAGGAAGGACGGAGGTCCCCCTCTTCACCGCGAAACCATGGCAGGTACAGGCTGTTACGTTATGGCGTGGCACCTGCAGCACTGGGCAAGACGAGCCACGCAGCGCGCCAGTTTTGCCGTGCTGTCGCACAAACATCCACAGTTGGCAGGGAGTATGAGCTGTATTGGCAGCAAACTTGGGTGCGCTGGCACGATTCTTGCCAAAAACACCAATGGGTGCAACTTTCGGGTCAGTGGGGGGGTTTGGCAGTTTTCTACCATAGGGCGGGTGCGACAAGATGGGAGAGTGGCACAGCGTCACAGGTGCAATGTATGTGTAGTGTAGCAGAATCCTCGCTTCAGGGAACTCGGTATCAGGGTAACTGGGAAAGAACACTGATGTAGTCAGGGGAACGAAACGCAAACTTTGATTCTATAAGGGTAAAAAAAAACATGCACTTTTTGAGTCAGTGTTTAAAGCCTGGGAGTCTGACTGCGTCAGGGTACTTCAAAAAAAAAGCGGCCGCCAGTCAGGGCAATCAGGGTAAAATACCCTGACATTTTGGGGCCTGGTGTGTATGTGTTTTTTTTATTTTTTTTTTTATTTTTTCTCTTTGGGTTAATTCCAGGTAACGCAGCGTGGTTCTGTGCACGCTGATGGATCAGCCAGGTAAAAAACGAATCAAGAGGCGTGGCGAAAAGCTACCCCACATGGCATACGGTATCCTCGTTCGTGCGGTATCAATCCTTCCACGAGAACTGATCCTTGGGTGTGCGTTTGACTGGCGGTGGTGCAGCCGTCCCATTGGGAGGCATGAGCCCCGCACGGTAACCAAACCGTGGCCACGGCTCCTTCTTGTCTTCAAACCCGTACCTCTGCCCGTCCACAATGTACGGCCACCCAGAGCCCTCCTGCGCCACCCGAACGAGGCGCTGAGGGTCGGGCTGGGGGAGGGTCCAGGCTTTGGCGGGGTACTGGAAGGTCTTCTCGGCCTCGGCGTGCATGTGCCACACCCACACATCCGTGGCGTCCCGTGCTATGGGCTGCAGGTATGTGGGCGACGGCAGCAGGCGCGACAGGAACGTCGTCTCCAGGTAGCTGCGGGGTGCACGGGGGGGGGGGGGGTTGATTGGGGGGGTGACAGCATGCACGTGGAAACGATGCAGTGAGGGGGGATGTTGTTGGCAGGGGGGAGTGGCTGTGCATGGCAGCGTGGTAAGCAGAACATGACGAATGCGCTTCGTACGAGCAGGAAGATGTGGTTACGAATGCGTGCAGGTGTGGTGTGAGGAGCGTGTGGGGAAGAGATTGTGAGAGGAGCACTGACCCTCCCCAAATGGCCTGGAAGCGAACAGGGTGGCGGGGGTAGCCGGGGATGGAGGTGAGGCGCGTCCACAGCAGACGAGAGCTGCAAGACCAAGAGGCAGATCGGATCAGAGCAGGGAGCGGGAGCGGAGAAGGCTGAGAAGGTTATGAGAGGGAGTTGAGCAGACGCTCGTTATAGAATGGCATGTCCTATCATCCCTTACCCTTCTCCCCAATGTCCCCCCCCTCTATCCCCCCCCCATGCACTCTCCACATCACCCACGCCCGTGCCCTCTCTCCATCTCGTAGTCTCGCACTGGCCACCCCACCCCCCACCCACAG